GTTCCATGCTCATGACCTAGTTGCCTCCAAAGGCCTCACCTCCTAATATCTTGGGGGATTAGGTTTCAACACAGGAATTTTGTGGGGACACAAACATTCAGTCCATAGCAGAAAGCAGAAGCCAAAGTCCTCTACAAAACCACCCAGGAGGCTGCTGGTGATCTGCGTTTCCTCTCCCCTCTCCTGGCCACTTCCCATCATTCCCCGCAGGCAGGGGTCTCTTCCCATCATTCCCCGCAGGCAGGGGTCTCTTCCCATCATTCCCCGCAGGCAGGGGTCTCTTCCCATCATTCCCCGCAGGCAGGGGTCTCTTTCCTCCACCTCTTCCAGTCTCTTCCCATCATTCCCCGCAGGCAGGGGTCTCTTCCCATCATTCCCCGCAGGCAGGGGTCTCTTTCCTCCACCTCTTCCAGGTATTTGCTCCAACGTTACCTGAATTCCTTTGTCGTCCTCCCCCGACCTCCCCAGCTTTATGGAGGTATAATTGGTGTACAAAAACTGCATATAGTCCGGGCACGGTGGCTCACGCCTGTAATCCCAGCACTTTGGGAGGCCGAGATGGGTGGATTGCCTGAGCTCAGTAGTTCGCCACTAGCCAGGGCAACATGGTGACGCCCCGTCTCTACAAAAATACAAACAAAAAATCAGCCGGGGGTAATGGTGAACGCCTGTAATTCCAGCTACGAGGGAGGCTGAGGCACAAGAATTGCTTGAACCCGGGTGCGGCTGCAGTTGAGCCGAGCCCGTTCCACTGCCTCCAGCCTGGGCAAACCAAAGTGGACTCTGTCCAAAAAAAACAAAAAAAAACAAAAAACCCACAAAAACTCCCTGCAATACTAATAAATATATACATATTTGGTGAGTTTGGACAGATATACACACTCATGTTTCCATCACCACACTCCGAAAGTGAACATATCCATTTACCTCCAACCAGTTTCCTTGTGTACATTTTGTCCTGTTTTTTTTCGTTTTTTGTTTTGAGATGAGTTTTCCTTTTGTTGCCCAGGCTGGAGGCAATGGCGCAATCTCGCTACCCGCAACCTCTGCCCTCCAATATTCAATGCCATTCTACTCCCTGAGCCCCTACTAGTAGTCTGGTGATTACAGCTGCTTCGTCCACCGAACCCGGCTAACTTTTTTTTTTTAGTAAGACCATGTTCGGTCAGGCTGGGCCTCAAACTCCCCGACCTTCAGGTGATCATGCCCGCCTTGGCCTCCCAGAGTGCCTGGATTACAGGCGTGAGCCACTGCACCCGGCCTTTTTCTTTTCTTTCCTTTACTTTTTGTCTGAGAACGGAGTCCCCTCGCTCTCTCTCCACGGCTGGAGTGCAGTGCGCATCTCGCTCACATGCAAGCGCCGCCTCCGGGTTCACAGGCCATGCCCCGCCTCAGCCCACCCAGTAGCGGGACTACAGGCTCCGCCACTTCGCCCGGAACCAGTTTTTTGCATTTTTAGTAAAGACGACGGGTTCTCACCATTGTTAGCCAGTAGGCTGATCCTCCTGCCCTCATGATCCCCGCGTCCTTGCCCCCAAAGTGCTGGGATTATAGGCGTGAGCCACAGCCCCCGGCTTTTTTTTTTTTTTTTGAGACAAGTTTTTGCTTGTTCCCCCATGGCTGAGTTTGGTGTTCAGTGGCTCTTCTCAGCTCCTGCAACCCTCCGCCTGTCCAGGTTCCAAGTGATTCTCCTACCTCACGCCGCCCTGATAGCTGGGATTACAGGCGACCACCACCACGCCCTGGCTAATTTCTTGTGTTTGTACGCTAGATAAATCAAAAATGAGGTTTTCAACTGTATCTGATGGGCATCAGAGCTGGTCTTGAACTCCTGACCTCAGCTCCCAACACGTGCTGGGATTACAGTGTGCAGCCTACCACTCCCGGCCTTTTCTTTTCTTTTGAGTGCGAAGCTTGGATAAGAACAATTCACTAACATCAAGATCTTAACGAGTTTTTTTTTTCTTTCTTTTTTTTTTGAACAGGTCTCCCTCTGTTGTCTCAGGTTAGTGCTGCAGCGGAATCACGGCTCACTTCAGCCTTGACGCCTGGGTCAAGTACCCACACCTCAGCCCCTGAGTAGCTCGGACTACAGCGTGTACCCCACAGCCACCTGTTTTTAATTTTTTGTTGAAGAGATGGAGTCTTCACCGCTTGCTCAGGCTGCGTTCGAACTCCTGCCTCAAGTCATCCTTCCCCATCCTCGCTCTCGAATGCTGGATTACAGACATGAGCCACTTGCGCCTGGCCAGTCAATATTTTAAAATCTGCAGATGCTTGTGTTAACTGCTAGATCTCTGGACTTCCTCATCTTTATTATCTATAAAACGTTTTTGGCTCGAGCCTGTAATCCCAGCCACTTTGGAGGAGCGCGAGGCGGGCGCTCACGAGGTCAGGAGATCTAGACCATCCCTACGCTAACACGGTAACCCGCCCTTGCTAAAAATACAAAAAACTTAGCCGGCGGCGGCGCCGGCGCCTGTAGTCCCAGCTAATCAGGAGGCGAGCAGCGAGAATGCGCGTGAACCCGGGAGGCGGAGCTTGCAGTGAGCCATCGCGCCACTGCACTCCAGCCTGGGCGACAGAGCTAGACTCTGGTCTCAAAAAAAAAAAAATGATTTTTGAGAAGGTACTGAAAAAACATTTGCTGAATAAATTGTGTGACAAACTATAGCATTTCCTTTGCTTAAACCTCAAAAACGTAAGTTAGATATGCAGAGCACCATAACTTTGTAATTACCTCTCACAGATCAATTATTCCCAGGTCATTCTCGAATCATTTTTTGTTAATTGAGAATTAACTTGTCTTCTCCCCCACGCGGTATTCTTGGTAGCCTCTAGGATTTCACAAAGGGGGAATTTAAAGTGTCCTGTAGGTCCTTCAGAGATTCACAGGAAGAGACCTGCACTTTAACCGGTCTCTGTAGAGCAGGACTATCATGACAACATTTTTAAAAAATATAAGCAGCAAAAATGATCAATAAGATATCACCATTTGTACTTTGAAGTGGTAACATAGACTATGGAATGGCATGTTTCCCCTGTTTGTGAAGAGGATAGTACGATGATGGGTCTTTGAGCAGAAACTGTTTTTCTTTCAAATGTCTAAGGCAGCACAATGTAATGGAAAGCCCATTGGTGTGGGAGTGAGCGTCCCAGCTTCCTGGGCAGTAAAATGAACAGGCCTGATGATCGATCTCCAGGCCCCATCCAGCTCTAAAGGTCTCCAAAACTTTTGGAGATAAAGCCACGGAACTTTCTCATGAGCATCAAAAGTTGTATTTCATGTTTATTATCGCAACTGACTTAATGTTCCAAGAGTGACTGTTAGAGATCTAGTATACGTAGATATGCAAACTTTGTTTTTGTAGTTTAGTGTTTTCCAGTAAACGAAATTTGTTTTCATATCACTAATATTTAAAAGTGTAAATAATATCTAGGACACATAAATTTAAAGAACCATCATCATTGTATTTAACTGTGATTCATTAAGGGATTAATTACCTAGTTTGTGAACGTGTAAGCCCCCTGTAGCTCTCTTCCCATTTTTGAACAAAAATAAAGAAGTTTCAAATTCAAGTTGGTGGCATATTTATAACCTTCAAAGACATTATAACCAAAGGCTAAAATGAGATTCTGGCACTGTTTGGAAGTTTCTATTTTGAGGGCTCGCCTCACCACTTAACTTGAACTGGGGATTATCAGTAGTACCGTACATAGTCCATTAATTTCAAGTCAAATCATTTCACAAATGTTAATATTTCACGTATACATGGCTGCAAGGTATGACAGAATGCTTCATAAAAGCCATTGAAAATAAACTTCAAAAATAAAATGCATCAATCAGTTAAATCCCATTAGCCTATGGGAGAAATTTCAATATGTATACTTCCAAATTTCAAATTAATAATGGGGCAATATTATTGTGCCACCTAGAGTACCAAACAGTGGGTATAAACCATCTCCTTAGTCAGATGGAACACTGGCTGGACACTGCAGATTATCTGGGGTTTAAGACGTTAACTTCTATCACGAATCTAAATTCTGACTTCCCTGTCTAAAACTTCGGGAACATCACATCTTTTATTTAAAGCGAAAAAGTAAACTTCTAACATACAAAATAACGGATTTCTTTTCAAGAGCGATAGTCCATTTTTTTTTTTTTTTTTTTACCAAATCACTGCCCTTGATTTTTCATGAACTTTAAGTTTCAGAATGATTTGGTCAAGAGTATTTCTGCAGGAATAGGAAGAGAATCAAGTGGGCCTATAATCAAAGACCTAGCTGGGTCTCACCCTCATGGTTAACTACTGAGACTTCATAGCCGATGACCAGGTCCTAAAGTGGACAGAACAAGCCTTACTGGAGGTCCGTCTTTGTGGTAGGTACAGAAAACTTGGAAATGCAATTCTGTGGTTTATTTAGGGTTATTAAGAGCATGAGAATAGCCCTGCAAAGGCTGGTAAACTAGGGTTTGCAGTATGGAATAGTAAGCAAAGCCTCTACTTCCCAGGCCCTGCACCCGGGGTGTGGAACAGACAAAAGAACGGCTCTGCCCTTGCCCTTCTCGAACTTAAAATCCAATTCGCAAAGCAGGACTTACACATATTAAATCAAATACAGCATTACGCTGAAAAGAGCCCCTGCGTGTAACAGTTGCCAATGTGTGTTATACCAGTCAAAACGATTTGAAGGAGTTTTAAACGAAAAGCTGGAGAAACATACAAGAAGGCAGATCTAAGATGGAAGAAAAGGCGGATTCGGGTTGAAATGCCAAGTTGAGGACTGAAGAAAGCATTTGGACAAAGCAGCCTCCAGGCTGGGAAGGCGAAAAGCCAAACGAGTATAGCCACCAAAGACCCAGAAAGGCCAATAGATTGTGCAGTGAGTCGGTTTAACTGAAAGGCGGTTTCCTTTTCCTCCATTTGCTCAGTCCCAATTGGAAGCGCACTGCGCGGCCTGCGCCGCGCTCTCCGCCCGGGTTCGGCGTGGGGGCGGGGAGGCAAGTACGGTAATGGGCGGGGCCGAGCGCGGGCGCGCTCCGGCTTTCCTTCTGCGCAGCGCTCCCGTCAGCGCAGGGGGCGGGGCGCCTATATTACGTGCGCGGCGCCGCCCCTGCGAGAGGACGTTGCGTGCTCGCTCGCGCCAGGCGAGTCTCCGCGTCTCCCTCGCGAACTCGGTGAAAGGAATTGGCGCCGTTCGACACCAGGCGGATCCGCTCTGCAGCACGACCCCATCTCCAGCCGCAGCCGCAGCCGCCGCCCGGGCCGAGGAGCAGCCGCAGCAGCCGCCACCAGTGGCCGAGTGAGCGGAGCCGAGTTTGAGGCAGCGCCTAGCGGTGAATCGGGGCCCTCACCATGAGTTCCTCGCCTGTTAATGTAAAAAAGCTGAAGGTGTCGGAGCTGAAAGAGGAGCTCAAGAAGCGACGCCTTTCTGACAAGGGTCTCAAGGCCGAGCTCATGGAGCGACTCCAGGCCGCGCTGGACGACGAGGAGGCCGGGGGCCGCCCCGCCATGGAGCCCGGGAACGGCAGCCTAGACCTGGGCGGGGATTCCGCCGGGCGCTCGGGAGCAGGCCTCGAGCAGGAGGCCGCGGTCGGCGGCGATGAAGAGGAGGAGGAAGAGGAAGAGGAGGAGGAAGGAATCTCCGCCCTGGACGGCGACCAGATGGAGCTAGGAGAGGAGAACGGGGCCGCGGGGGCGGCCGACTCGGGCCCGATGGAGGAGGAGGAGGCCGCCTCGGAAGACGAGAACGGCGACGATCAGGGTTTCCAGGAAGGGGAAGATGAGCTCGGGGACGAAGAGGAAGGCGCGGGCGACGAGAACGGGCACGGGGAGCAGCAGCCTCAACCGCCGGCGACGCAGCAGCAACAGACCCAACAGCAGCGCGGGGCCGCCAAGGAGGCCGCGGGGAAGAGCAGCGGCCCCACCTCGCTGTTCGCGGTGACGGTGGCGCCGCCCGGGGCGAGGCAGGGCCAGCAGCAGGCGGGAGGTAAGAAGAAGGCGGAAGGCGGCGGAGGCGGCGGTCGCCCCGGGGCTCCGGCGGCGGGTGAGTGCTGCGTTGTACGTTGCGCGCGGCGGGAGGCCCGCGCGGGGTGGGGACCGTGCCCCAGGCCTGCCGGAGCCCCGCAGGGGGAGGGAGCCCCGGGCGGGCGGGGGCCGCGGGGAGGGTGGCGGGTGGGGGAGGGGGCGCGGGGAATCCCAGATTAGCCGAGAGGCCTCGGGCTCGGGGCGTGTGTGCGTGTGTGTGTGTGTGTGTGTGACGGCGGTGGCAGCGCCTCCATTATGTGGCTCGAGAGCCGGGGGGAGCTGCAGCTGCCGCTGGAGGGGGAGGAGCCGCGGGCGGGCGGCGGGAGGGAGCCCGGTCGGCCCGCGGTGGCGCCGTCGCGCTGCGTGCGCGCGGTGCGGGCACATGTCTCGGGGGGAGGGGAGAGGCCCCAGGTCCCGGGGCGGGCGCGCTTTGGCGGCTCCTCGCCGCTGTATTGTGCAAGGAGCGCAGGGGCTCGGCGTGACGTCACTTCCTGCGGGAGGAGCCGGGCGGGGCGGGGGGCGGAAGATCAGTACAATGCGGCCGCGGGGAGCGCGGGCCCGCGGGGGAGGGGAGCGCCGCCGCGCCGGGCTCGGCCCCTCCCCCTCCTGCGCCCGGGTCGCGATACACGTGGGCTTCGGGCCTGGGCCGCGCAGTTTTTCTTTGGGTTTCTCGAATCATCGAGGAGACTGGCAAAATTCGTAACGTCTTTAGACTGCGTCACTAGCGCCAATCCGATTCGTAGCTGATTGTTCTTCGAGTTCACATTTGAGTCCTCGGTTAAAACCTCAGTTAAAAAGCAGGATAAAGTCAAGCTGCTTTGCTTCTCGGAACGGAAAAGCGCTTTTTTGTTGTTGTTTAGCGGCTTGGCCTCTTATGGGGGTCTTGTGTGTTTTAGGGGACGGCAAAACAGAACAGAAAGGCGGAGATAAAAAGAGGGGTGTTAAAAGACCACGAGAAGATCATGGCCGTGGATATTTTGAGTACATTGAAGAGAACAAGTATAGCAGGTATAGGATGCTCACCTAGTTTGACTTGTCATCCCTTATTCGTTCGTTGATCGGAAAGCTGTATCAGGAGACAATTCTGTCTTTCAGAGCCAAATCTCCTCAGCCACCTGTTGAAGAAGAAGATGAACACTTCGATGACACAGTGGTTTGTCTTGATACTTGTAAGTGAAGCTGTTTCTCCCCAATTATGAAATGCGGTGATGGTTTTTTTTTTTTTGCTTCCAAAATGTTAGAAAACTTAATGCTTAAGTGCAGCAAAAGTTGGGTTAGTTTTTTTTAAAAGCAGGAAGAGATAATGGTTTATATTCCGAACCTAGTAGTTTAATATTTAGCACGGCATCAGTTGTATCAAATGGATCATTTTACAGGCTCTAGGAGTTTCATATTTTTATGACTTGAAAGTTCTCGTTCTTAGGAAATGTAAAATTAATGCCAGTTTCTGACTAGCTAACGGAAACTTGTAACACTACCTATAATTTAGCCTTACAGGCTTCTACAGTAAAGTAATTCATTTTTTTGTGGAATTATATTAAGTGAGCTATTTGGGCTAGTTAAATATTTACTAATGACTTCTCCCATTAGCACACAAGTATATTCCCTATTCTAAAAGATTGTAATATTACTTTTTCAATAACTGCTCTTTTGTTCTCAATTCCAGTTCAGTAGCTGCTGCTTTAAACATAAGTTGATTTCTTCCAAAGACCTGAGGCAGCAGCAGTGGGCTATCACTGGGCCACTAGCTTTCTTCAGCAGCGAATGGTATCAATGGCAGTGCAGCACTGTAAATACTGCTACTTCACCCAGTTGGGTTGCAATTGAGTATGAGAAAGTATTGCAAACCTCTAAGTGGGCTTTGACTGTCAGACTTGCATTTTTTTTGTTGTTGTTATAAAAAAAAGTAGTTGGTTTAGTGATCAGAATTCATAACTCTGGGTGTGATAAATAGACCAAAGAATAGAAATACCTGTTTGAAAGTATCAGCTGTGGTGTCAGCCTGCTCTGTTAGATGGAGGGCATTGAAGCTTAGCTTCTCATGTTTTCTTGTACAATTTGGTTTTATTCAGATTTGTAAGAGTGTAAATGTAAAACTCTTTCTTACTGGAATGTCCTTTACAGAAGGTTGAGATAGTCATCTGAGCCTTTTTAAAGTAAAAAACTGCAGGTGAAAAAGGAGTTAGTTGATTTGAAAGTTTTATGTGAAATTCTGGGTTGTGTAAATAAAAAGTTGCTAGGAATTGGCAAGGTAGTGAAGTGGTGACTCATGCAGGTAATGTAATTGTTAGATTTTTTTAGCAAATCAGATAGGCATATGTCAATATAAACACAATGTTGAATTCAAACAATCTGTTGAATTAAATTCTGTTGATTACAGTAATTCTAATTTAAGAAAAATTCCAAACTGTAGATTTATTTTTCTCTGATCAGTAAAAAAAAAAAATCGAATTCCAGCTTGACTTTAGCTGTTGAAGTGAGAAGTCTGAGAAGGTGCATGTTAATGAGCCAGTGACCCATAGGTAGCTAGGTTAAAGACACTTTGGATTTGGATAATCCGGGAAGCAGTTAATCCCTGATTGTTGAACAGGCAGTCCTGGGTAAAGAGGACCTAAAATGCTGCACTATTAACAGCATTAGACGGCCAGGTTTGTACTTCATAGATTTAGGCTGTCTTCACAAGTTTTAGAAGAAGAATTTAGGAGCTAGAGCCCTGGTGCAGGATCAACAGCAGCTCATACTCCTGTTTCAAAATAATTTGGTCGTGGCCTCCCTTCAGTTTTAATGTGGCACTGGTAAATCTACCTGGTTCTGGCATGCTTCACTTTGATTTCCTGCTATCCTCTACTGCTTGCCTCTAAATCAAGGTAAAGAGCAGAGCAGGTATGTATTAATGTCACATTGTCTTGATTATTTTAAATACTTAAAATATACATGTTAAACCTTGGTATTAGTTTCAGAGGCAGTTTACTTTTCAGTACATAATTTAAAAGGAGTGACTTGGTGGGAGTGGGGCTTTAAACTGAAAATTGGAACAACAGCATGATGTGGAGAAAAGTTGTGCAGCGTTAAGAAGTACATGCAAAAATTAAATAACCAAGTTTTCTCTACATAGCAGATATATTTACATTGGATGTCACAAGTAACACAGTATTTGATATAATTACAGATAATTGTGATCTACATTTTAAAATATCAAGAGATCGTCTCAGTGCTTCTTCCCTTACAATGGAAAGTTTCGCTTTTCTTTGGGCTGGAGGAAGAGCATCTTATGGTGTGTCAAAAGGCAAAGTGTGTTTTGAGATGAAGGTAAATGCAATTTTATGATGTTTTTGTTTGTTTTTGGAGACAGAGTCTCACTCTGTCCCCTAGGCTGGATTGCTGTGGTGTGACCTAGGCTCAACTGCAACCTCCCCGTCCTGGGTTCAAGCGATTCTCCTTGCCTCAGCCTCACAAGTAGCTGGGACTACAGGCACGTGCCACCACACCTGGCTAATTTTTGTATTTTTAATAGAGAACGGGACTCCTGACCTCAGGTGATCCACCCACCTCAGCCTCCCAAAGTGCTGGGATTACAGGCTTGAGCCACCGCGCCCAGCCTTTTTTTTTTTTTTTTTCTTTTTAAAATAGTGACAGGGTCTCACCATGTTGCCCAGGCTGGTCTTGAACTCCTAAACTCAAGTGATCTGCCTGCCTGGGCCTCCCAGAATACTGAAATTTACAGGTGCTTCATACTGCTAAGTTATCAGAGGTACTTATTTTTGAAGCTTCCTGTAAATTAAAAGAGGAACTTGGAACCTTCATTTTGTTGTGACAGTTAAGTTTGTTATGTTAGAACTTGACATGCAGAGCTAGGCAACTTTTTATTTAGGGTACTTCATTTTTATCAAGCATTTGAAAGGGCCACCAAAGAGTGAAAAATAAAATTTGGTTAGATTACAGGTTTTGTTGGCGAGAAAAACATTAAATGTATCCTTTAATTGGCTTTAAGTTGAAGACTGACAACATGAACTGTAAAAATATTAACTATTCTTTTAAATATGGGTCAAATAAGTATTTAACATTTCAAGTTATAAGCACATCAGTTTAAAGTTCCTACAAATATTAGGGATGGGCTAGAGTGTGCCATCTCTTTGTATTTGTAGCTAGAGGAAGATTAGCTCATGACCCTATGAAATAAGCCAGAGTTAAGGGGTTACCTCCTTGGTTTATGATTTTAATTATTTAATGATTCGACTTTCAGGTTACAGAGAAGATCCCAGTAAGGCATTTATATACAAAAGATATTGACATACATGAAGTTCGTATTGGCTGGTCACTAACTACAAGTGGAATGTTACTTGGTAAAGATTCTTTTTGACTGATGTGGGCTCACGAATGTTTAGGAGGGTCTGATATCCTTATTTTTTAACCAGACTAGAAGGCATTCTAAGCCTTTTGTCTGTTTTTATCTATTCTGTTAATACTTCAGACAAGTAATATTAGCACATAGTAGGCACAGGCTACATTTTAGTTTTTGTTCCTTTATTAGAAGTTTATGGTTGAAATAAAATCTTACCCATGATATGCAAATTGTCAACTAATTTGGTCTCTGCATATATATATATCCCTCCTAACTTTCATTAATTCTAGTACAGAGGTAGAAAAGTAATAGTGTCAGTGGCAGGTGATTAGGTTATATGCTCATTTCTCTTGTAGCCTACATTTTAAGTAGTGAAATAGATGAGTCTTTGGACTATTTTAAAAATCTACTTCACGAAGGTTAATTACTTTCTTAGGTGAAGAAGAATTTTCTTACGGGTATTCTCTAAAAGGAATAAAAACATGCAACTGTGAGACTGAAGATTATGGAGAAAAGTTTGATGAAAATGATGTGATTACATGTTTTGCTGTAAGTTAAAGCTAACTTTCTATGTATAAATGGCAAATTAGTAGCTATATCTAGGAACTTTTAAGAAGCTTTATTAAGGTCAATCTTCAATAGGAGCAACATAAATACACCAGTCCCTGGGTTAGTATAAATACTCATTCAGCAGTTGAATTGGGAAAATACAGGACATTTTTGAGGAACTCACTAATTTCATTTTGACTGAAAACAATGAAGATGAAATTGACCTAGAAAATTTAGTCTAACTTCTAGGTCACTATAGTTTCTGGTTCTGGAGATACGTGCTTCATTGTTTGTAACCATCAGATTTCTTAACTGTGTAGCCCTTAGAGGCCACTTAGTAGTTGTTTAACCTGTAGCTCCCACAGGATAAGCTTTGCTCCTAATTTTAATTACTAGTTTTTTAGAAAGTTTATAGGAAGCAGATAACTTGAATTTTTTGCTGTTTAACAGAACTTTGAAAGTGATGAAGTAGAACTCTCCTATGCTAAGAATGGACAAGATCTTGGCATTGCTTTCAAAATCAGTAAGGAAGTTCTTGCTGGACGGCCACTCTTCCCGCATGTTCTCTGCCACAACTGTGCAGTTGAATTTAATTTTGGTCAGAAGGAAAAGCCATATTTTCCAATACCTGAAGAGTATACTTTTATCCAGAATGTCCCCTTAGAGGATCGAGTTAGAGGACCAAAGGGGCCTGAAGAGAAGAAAGATTGTGAAGTAAGTGATTTTTTTTTTTTTTTAACTGGTATTTGAATATTGTTTGCCTGGCACAAAATGACATTTAGAAGAGGTAGATGATTAGTCTGTTTACTTTGTGCTGTACATATTTCTCTTAAGTAATTATTGTTTTCCCCTTATGTTGACTGTTACTCTTTCCATAAACACAAATTTTTGTCCCTTAGTATAAGGGCTATGAAGACTTAGATATTTAAATTGGCCTTAAAAGAACAATATTTAAAGAATTATTAGGTGGTGTCTAATGACATTTCATTATTTTCACTAGGTTGTGATGATGATTGGCTTGCCTGGAGCTGGAAAAACTACCTGGGTTACTAAGCATGCAGCGGAAAATCCAGGGAAATACAACATTCTTGGCACAAATACTATTATGGATAAAATGATGGTAAGTAAAACGTTTAGGGCCTGATCTCAGTGTTTAAAATAGACGAGGAGAGGCTGGGCATGGTGGTTCACGCCTGTAATCTCAGCATTTTGGGAGGCTGAGGTGGATGGATCACCTGAGGTCAGGAGTTTGAGACCCACCTGGCCAACATGGCAAAGGCCCATTTCTACTGAAAATACAAAAATTAGCCAAGCGTGGTAGTGGGCACCTGTAATCCCAGCTGCTCGGGAGACTGAGGCAGGGAGAATTACTTGAACCTGGGAGGCAGAGGTTGCAGTGAGTCGAGATCGTGCCATTGTACTCCAATCTGGGCGACAGAGCAAGACTCTGTCTCAGAAAAAAAAAAAAAGAAATGATAGACTAGGAGGTATTCTAGGTAAACCTTTTGCCTTTGTCTCTATCCATTTTGTTAATATCTTAAGAAGGTGGGAGGAAAGGCAAGATTAAGTTGGTTCTTTAAGCTCTGTGAGGGTAAACTGCCTTCGGGTGGCTAGGTTGCTGTGTTTTTGAGCACAGGAGCTGCTAGTGTTTCTAGAAGCTAAAAAGAATTAAGTGTAGGGTGTAGGGTCTTGTTACATAGTTTAAGTGACCCTGTTTTTGTAACAATAATGGACAAAGGTAATGTAAAATGTTGCCTGCTTTACATGTAGATGAGAGTTGAATTTTAAAAAGCATAACTTATTAAAATTCACAAGTTCAAGGGGAAATTTTAACTTTTGAATATAGGTGGCAGGTTTTAAGAAGCAAATGGCAGATACTGGAAAGCTGAACACACTGTTGCAGAGAGCCCCACAGTGTCTGGGGAAATTTATTGAGATTGCTGCCCGAAAGAAGCGAAATTTTATTCTGGATCAGGTATGCTGTAGCTTTGAAGATGAAAAATATTAACTGATAATTTAGATAGATTGGTGTAGAATTAACATTTAGGGTTGTAAACATAAATTTCTTTTTTTAAAGACAAATGTGTCTGCTGCTGCCCAGAGGAGAAAAATGTGCCTGTTCGCAGGCTTCCAGCGAAAAGCTGTTGTAGTGTGCCCAAAAGATGAAGACTATAAGCAAAGAACACAGAAGAAAGCAGAAGTAGAGGGGAAAGACCTACCAGAACATGCGGTCCTCAAAATGAAAGGCATGGAATTTTAATTTAATTCTGTTAAGTGTGTTAAATCGTTTTTTGTTTTTTTTTTAGTTTTTTTTTTTAGTTTTTTTTCATGCATATTCTGCTTGTGTAATTTGTTATGTCTATTAGGACTTACTCCTCTGAAAAGTTAACATTTTTTCCAGCAATACTGCTTCAGGAATTACAATTGCACTTGTTAAATATGCATATATGTTTGGTCTATTTCTGTTTATTTTTAGGAAAATACATTACTAAACCTTAATAATTTGTTAGCTTTAGGATTGTGGGGATTTGTGGTGGGTTTCTAAGTTAATAATACGACTTTGTTTCCTGCAGGAAACTTTACCCTCCCAGAGGTAGCTGAGTGCTTTGATGAAATAACCTATGTTGAACTTCAGAAGGAAGAAGCCCAAAAACTTTTGGAGCAATATAAGGAAGAAAGCAAAAAGGCTCTTCCACCAGAAAAGAAACAGAACACTGGCTCAAAGAAAAGCAATAAAAATAAGAGTGGCAAGAACCAGTTTAACAGAGGTGGTGGCCATAGAGGACGTGGAGGATTCAATATGCGTGGTGGAAATTTCAGAGGAGGAGGCAAGTTAATTTTGAGTGTTCTGTATTTAGTTCAGGATCGAAACAAATGATAATTTTATAGTTTGGATATAGCTGGTTTCTTCCTCATTAATGGTATGCTGTCACAGTAACTAGTATTCATGTAATTTGACAGTAAATACACCTAGGTTATGTTGTTAATGGTTAGAATTAAACATTACTTTTGTCTTTAAACAATTATTTTTGGAGAAAAAGGAACAATCTAGAGGAATCCTGAGTCTTCTGTATAAGTAGGGTACAATGCAATGAAACTAAAACATCTCTTGTTTTTTAGCCCCTGGGAATCGTGGCGGATATAATAGGAGGGGCAACATGCCACAGAGAGGTGGTGGTGGCGGTGGAAGTGGTGGAATCGGCTATCCATACCCTCGTGCCCCTGTTTTTCCTGGCCGTGGTAGTTATTCAAACAGAGGGAACTACAACAGAGGTGGAATGCCCAACAGAGGGAACTACAACCAGGTAATGATTAAAGATCCCTGGAAGCATGATGATATCTGTATAGCTTAATCTGGAAAGTTGTGAGCTTTATGTTGGGGTGTCTTAGTAGTCCATAAGGAACATGATAGGCATTGACATAAGGAAAATTGAACTAGTAATGGTGAAATGAGTCTACTTACTTTTGAGTTTTTTCAGGTGTACTAATTAACAAGTCAGATGCGTTTCTCATAATGAATAAAAAATTAAAACTAAGAAACCAGCAGAGGGTATCCAGAATTTGTATATTGCCCCCTAAGATTAGGGGCTAGCAACCTGTCCATTTCTGCTCCTCTCTCCCACCCCCGCAAACCTAACAAGCGATTGGGCCCAGAGCTCTTAGATCTATTTCCTTTTTGTAGAACTTCAGAGGACGAGGAAACAATCGTGGCTACAAAAATCAATCTCAGGGCTACAACCAGTGGCAGCAGGGTGTAAGTAATTTCTTACGTGGTTTATGTACATTAATTGTATTTTGAGTTCCTAAGATTTATCAGTCTTGAAAAAGATCCTGTCCAGGGATTGAAGTGTTTATAAGTGTTAATAGGGTAAAGTGTGAATCGTGTTGCAGTAGTAGCCATAATCTACCTTTTGAAGGCAAAATAGGTTGAAAATTGCTATAAGTTAAATTTTTTTAATGAAGTAATATTATTTAATATATACAGTTCTTTTTACTGTTAGCTTTAATTGTGTAAACTAACAAATTCATGATGTGTTTCATTTTGTAATGTGTATTGATAATTATGGGATATTAAAACTAAATCTGGTAGAAATCAGAGGTATGACAAGTATAAATTTGTTTCCAGCAAATTACTCTGAATTAGATTCATTGTCATTTCCTAAAAACAGTTTGAGTGGCTTATTGATGTTTTTTCTTTAAAAACAAAATTTTCTCTTACAGCAATTCTGGGGTCAGAAGCCATGGAGTCAGCATTATCACCAAGGATATTATTGAATACCCAAATAAAACGAACTGATACATATTTCTCCAAAACCTTCACAAGAAGTCGACTGTTTTCTTTAGTAGGCTAACTTTTTAAACATTCCACAAGAGGAAGTGCCTGCGGGTTCCTTTTTTAGAAGCTTTGTGGGTTGATTTTTTTTCTTTTCTTTTTTGTACATTTTTAATTGCAGTTTAAAAGTGAATCGTAAGAGAACCTCAGCATTGTGCACGATAAGAGAATGTGTCAGTATTTCAGGGTTCTACATTTTATCTGTAAAATGTGACTTTTTTTTTTTATCACAACAGAAGTAAAATGTTGCTTTGTACCTGGTGTCTTTTATTAAGAATTTACTCCCCCCATTTCTCACAGAGAATAACAGTCGGGAGTCATTGTCACAATATAATAGAAATGTTAGCAACCAGATTCATGTAAGGACTAAGTGGTCCTCATGAATTGCATTAAGACTCTGTACTGCTCATATTACACTCCATCCTCTCTGTAGTTTGCTGGGTAGTGGAGGGGGTAAGCTAAATCGTAGTTTCTGACAATAACTGGGAAGGATTTTTCTTAAATAACATTGGAATTGGTATAATTGGGATTGAAAACCAAAACTTGGAACTAAGATAGAGAAGATGGAGTGTATGTAGAAGGGCTGTTAAAAATGTAAACCTTGGTTGCATTATTTGTGGAGGCTCAAACTTGTGAAGGTTAAATACCATAATTTTTCCATTTGTTCTGCATTTTGATTCTGAAAAGAAAGCTGGCTTTGCCCATTTCTTATTAAAAAAACTTGTTGTAAATCCAGTTGTCTAATGGGATCTATATGAAGTTAGCCATGTCTGTATGCCCTTCTCCCACAAAATACTGTATAACTAGTGTGCTTGTAGTAGTTAACTCCACCATCTTTGTAAGCTAATGAAATTGTGAGTCACCCATTTATATCTTAATTTTTAATCATGTCAGTTCTTGAATGGGTATCTCCTTAGCCTGCTGATTTCTTTTTCTTTCTAAAGAAAGTGGGTGGAGAAATTAATTTAGACGTTTGTTTGCAATAAAAAGAATTCATTTTACTCTTGTTTTGGGATTCTCGCCATCAAGGTTCAAAATCCCTTTATATAACTCCCAAGAGGAGAAATTTTAAGTGTGTGCTTTCTGGACAGCTTATTTACTCTGCATAGAACATTTAGGTTTTAAAAACTTAAATGTATACTGACAATTGATACATAATTATGAAGTAAAGTTGAATTCTTCCCTTCCCCTCCCCACCAGACAACTTTTAACATATTTAATGAGGGGAAAAGGTACTGGCTGGGAGAAGTTAACACTGAGTTTATCATCTTTACAGAATGCTAATGCTGTCCTCAACTGATTATTTTATATACATATATATGATACATGAAACTCTGGGAACAGATGCTTTTAGAAGCCATCATGCAAGCCAGTCATTGATGTCACTACTACACAACACTGCTAACTTGACTGTAGCTCTGTAATAACATTAGATCCCCTAATTGTAATTATATTGGGTTTGCACAGAACACTTTTAATCTTCCCCTCACCCATGTGAAGTGAGGAATCAGGAGTCAAACTGTAGAACTAAAATTTGACTTCAGTCTAGTGTTTCCTTGGTGTTTTTAGGTTGCTTTTGGTAAGTTTAGGTTTGCTATGTTTCTGATTGCTTAGAATTTTGTTTTAGCCCTTTAAAATCAGATCTTAAATATGAATTCATACTTCTAAGGAATTTTCTTGCTGTAAGCTGGAGTTTTAAGTGATGGTGTAGGTTCAGTTGAGACATTTTTGGAACAAAGGCTAATCCTTAGTTAACATAGGATATTTAACAGTTGAAGATAGTGTCATGGATTTTTACCTTTTCTAGCAAGTAATGCTAAGAACCACTGGCCTGAGCTACTCTTCAGTATACCTTATTACGATTGCATAGGCTTACCTAGAGGAACAGTTTCAGGTTTTGATTCTAATCAGCGTTGTGTCCTAAAGTTGTCCTTTGTGCCTTTAAAAAGTCTTGGATATACCCTGTAGTTTAAAATTGCTTATTAAGGAATTCATTTTATAATTGCAATGGGAAAGTAATGGTCAAGTAACACTAGGTAGACTATCATTCCTGTTTAGCCCAGAGAATTTGGGGAGAGTGTAGTTAAAAATGGTACCCAGAAAAATGTTAAAATTTTTAGTCAAGACTGGAATTAATAGAATTGTCTACACTTGTATGGAAGAAGTAACCTTAAAGTAACCTTAAACACTTTAAGGTTTCAGAGAAGGGAGTGTACCAAATAGCAAGCAACAGGGAGAAAATTAGGTAAGTTAAGAAATAAGATATGAATGAGAAACCCGATTTATTGCTCATCCTTCCCATGCCTCCCTAATGGCAAGGAAAAATCTGAACAACTGAAAAGGATGTAGTTCTGGACAAATCCTAACTACCCAAAAGAAACTCACTGTGAGATTGCTGTTGATTTGAGGGGTGCTTTCACTAAGAGGTTATATTTGAAAATAGAATAACATGCTGAGTGAAAACTGGCTTTGGATTGGTCAGCTGCAGTAATACAAAAACAGCAGAGAATTTGAGAAAAGAAAACTAAAACTTAGACTGCTGTGAGATAGAAATGATGTAAATAAAATTATATGGAAAGTTTTCCCTCATATACTCACACATCCTTTGACGGGCTCTGGCTTTGACCAGTTTATGGCCTTGAGCAAGATGAAATCATGAAATTGAGTCAAATCAATTTGACACTGAAATGACAAGAGGAAACTCTTAAATTTATAAAAACAAGTCCTCATTTGCCTAGGACAGATCCTGTCTGTAAAAATAAAGATTGAACCTAGACGTTCTGAGCACTAGCAACAAGGTATTAAAGTTTAAAGGAATTTTCTTTGAAAAAGTTATGAAATTATTCTAGGAAACAACCATAATAGTATTTTAAGGGACTTTCACCTGGGGATTTTATATTCATGAATAGAGTGTATTCTGTATTTAAAATGTCTCATTTGTGGGAATTGAATGACATGTTTTTTGATAAATTTATTCACAATATAAATTGACTTTTTATTCTAGGACCATGTAAATAATGGGTTCCATTGCACAAATAAAAATATTTTAATAGCTTCTTAGGCAGTGGTGTAGACATCTTGGATATAAATAATTGTAGACCTTGTATATTTGGTTTTTAAAAAACTAGCATAAACAGTGAGAGAGGCATAAACATATCTTTTAGAGCCCAAGTGGTAGTGTCTAGCATTGGATATAATAAATGGATGTTTTACAAAGTGTTTCCATAATTCTCTTCCTATACATAAATATAAAATGTCTTGTTTTCAAAAGTGGATGGAACTTGGCTGGGTGTGGTGGCTCACGCCTGCAGTCCTAACACTTTGGGAGGCCAAGGCGGGAGGATCACTTGAACTCAGGAGTTTGAGACCATCTTGGGCAACATAGTGAGACCTGGTCTCTTAAAAAAAAAAAAAAAGTGGATGGAACTTGTAGCAGAGAATTTTATCTACTTCTCATCCTGCTTGAGAATACTCATTTGAGATGTTCCCTTGGAAAGATGAACAGAATGCTGCATCTGAAGCCATTTCTTCCCACCTAACATTCTTAAAATGATTGGAGTCTAAACTTTGTCATTCATTCCTAATTCTGGAGCTCTGAGGTTGAGGGGTTCAGTTTGGTGAATAATTGGGTTTAAGTTTTAACATTTTAGTAATAGTTAATAAAAGCCAACATACATACGTTAAACGCCTGACAATACGTTGCAATTCCTATGCATTGGGACTCATACCCAGCATATACCGTGCTTTGAGCAAGAATCGGTCAACTACCTGAGATCTCTAAAACAGTCATTTGAATTACTAATTATATAAACCACAAGTCTCTTCGAATTGTTAATTGCCTAAATTTACCCTAAAATTTAGTTAACGCCTGCAGTGCCTTTATTATTTCAAGCTTTTTTTTTGGTGGGGGAGGGCCACAGCTACTCCGTAACTTTAAATTTTAAAGCATGAAGGTGGTCTAGCTAGTATTAGCGCTTGAGTTGGTAGTTACATAGGCTGCTCTTGAGTCATCCTGTTTTCTTTGCCTAGGATTAGCACTACAGGTACATATTTGTAAAATAAGCATTAAAAGTACTTTGTCCAGCTAACTCATGTTGGAGTGACCTTTGTCTTATTAACCTTTGTTATGAAACTTAATTAGAATAAGCCCTTGAGAATTTGGAAGTGAGCTATACTACTAATGTATGTATCCCTTTGGAGTAGGTGAAAAACCAGGGGTCACCTAGAGTATGTGTTTGCAATTGAACAGAAACAATTCATCTTAATCCTTAGTTTTCATTATGTTTAGCTTAATATGTGTGCTAGTTTATTTGGCGTCACACTTATGTCAATCTCAAGTCATGCAGAAATAGCACAGTCTCAGGGAGGAGGTTAGGTGGGAAATTGATGATACGCTTACATTATTGAGTAGGACTATGCTTTCACATCCTAACCAATTGACTAAAAATATAAATGATTGAAATAATTTTCGTTAGTTGCCCCAGGAATCTTTAATAATAGTTTTAAGGGATAGTAGATTGGAAATAGGCAGATGGGTTATATTCATAATGTTAACCTAGAATTACTCAGAAAATATAACACCTATGTAGTAGAATGTGTTGATTGTAAGCCTAGTGTTAGGCAAACATGTTGAAGATGGGCCAGGACATCAGTAATCACTACTTGGTTAGGCAAGTTATTAGGACAGGGATCGTAACCATGTTGTCAGTTTGTAGTTACCTAATTATTGATAAGGAATACTTTCTTTTTCATGCCAGGATTCAGCATATACTTGTGTCTTGAGCAGGTGCTTTGCTTTTAAAGCTGAATCCTGGGCATAAAAAGCTATATACTGTAGTTGGAAGTGTGAAGTAAATGTCAGTGTAGGTTAGTCTCTAGAGAAATGTCTTCTATAGAGATTCAGGGTTTTTTTGCACCGTTATGGTCACCATACTGTGCCAATGACATAGTTACTCGTGAGCATGTCCAGTCTGTCTATATTATTGAAAGATAATGCAGATATTACAGGCTGGAGAGTTAGCATCGGACAGAAGTGCTGCACCATTGTGGCGTGTTCTTCCTACTAGTTAACAATTCCATTCTGAACCTTACAGGAAGTCAAATGAGTTATGTCTAGTAAAATATATGTTGCAAACACTTAAAGCATTGCCACAAATTGGTGTCAGCCGAGACATTTAGAAAAATCTTAAAACACCAAGAATAGATGTGGCTGGTATGGACACCAGTTTATAAGTGTGACATTAATGCTGCAAAAGTTAAAGCATATATGGAGTGAGATAACATTAATACCTAAAGAGTTACTGGCTTATTTAAATGTCAACTAACAAAAGGAATTTTTTGAGACAACTTGTATCCTGTATCTCAGTTGTATGTAGTTAAAAGATTGGGAGAATCATGGTCAAGTACAAGAATAAAAGATTCCAACGTAACTTTTTTTTTTTCTTGAAAAGTAAAGCAAACAAATGTGCTGATTTACATTTCATCTCCTTTTCCTTAGTCTGTCCATGTGAATGTGCTGTGTGGAAGAGTTAAAGGGTCCAACTAAATGTTCCAGTGATTCCAATAGGTATTCCAAATTAATTGCTGCTTGTACATTTCATAGTTACGTTAGGCTTCCAGAATCACTTTAAATAGGGCTCTATTTTTAAAAGATGGGGGAAGAGAGTAATTGGTAACCAGATGGACAGACTCTCTACAACAGAAGAAAAAGGGTATTTTCTCTTGCATATCTGAGGTGAAGTGTGTATTCTGTGTGTTCTTAGCAATTGGCAGTCCTCTTGCTTAGGTTTACAGGTGTATGTGCAAATAGACCTGAGTCCTTTCAAAGTTAGATCATTTTTCTGATGTCATCTATTAAACTTTTGGCAATACATTTGTTTTGATCTCCACCCTACTTGGTAGAGTGTAAGTACTTTCTTACAACGTTCTAATGTCAAACAGTGCATAGGAGACCTTTTTGTCCTTGGTTGCCCAAAATCTTTTTCATTTCTATTAAATTCACAAATACTTATTTTTACTAGCTTATGAAAATTTGGAAAATAGCTTGACATCCTTTTGGATAATGAAGTGATTAGTTCATATATTGAAGTATATAAAATCAACTAGGAAGTAAATTCAAGACTGAAGGACTGGGAGGGTTTGTGTGAGCTTTGGTTGTATCAGTCCAGGACATGTAATTTTCCATTTCCCTGAAAAAGACTTTAGAGGAATTTATTTTCCCCACTATACACTCCAGAATGTCTTTAGGTGAACTAAGAGGGCTTGGGCTGTATTCTGATTCCAGATGTAGCTATCAGAGTTTGCTTAATGAAATATGGGTCTACTCACAAATAAAGCAATTTAATGGTTTCTGAAGAGTAGGCAACTTACGGTTTCATAACCATTTCTGTTCATTTGAGAAAAATCATAAAACTACAGAAAAGGGAAACATTCATTTCAAAAATAAGCTTTGAATTTAGATGGTAAGGCATATGTTTTATTTCACATGACTTCAGGGTATCGGTGAAGAAACATTTTTATGGAAACTTAAACCTTAAGAAGCCAGTATATGCAAAGAATGATTACTTTGATATCCCCTGAGGGTGTGCCATATAATAGGTGACTGATAACATACAGGATTTAATTCTTAGAAGAATTAAGAACGGATACCACCCATTACATTGACCTACCTTTTAAAGTGAACAATAGAAACCTCTCTCAGAATTAGTATTTGCTTATTATCAACATAAAAATACTTAAATGTCCTTATTCTAGAACATGGAAGCATAGGGCAAATGCAATGGTTGAAAGCACTGAAAAATATTTGTAAAACATTTGTAGTGCTCACATTATGGACTTTAATACTTTGAAAAAACTACCTTCATAATTTTTTTGTTCTAACAGCTTCCTTTTTAAGAAAACATTTTAAAACATTTTAAAATGGAACTTAATGTGCAAAATAAGTTGTGTAAAATACCAGTATTTTGGGTGGTAGAGGATATTGGTATATTGACCTGGGTTGATGACAACTGGAGTATTTTAAGATAACTACTTCCAAAAATTATTTTATTCTAGAGGACCACTAAAAATCAGAATTACAGCAATCATTTTAATTTTTCTACTTTCCTTGTTAAGATCTGCTTACCCAAAGAATAGTGTATATCTTAACATGACTTTTAAAGGGGTGTCTTGATCCCCATCACAGATTTTTATCTAGGAATAGAAGGATTGAAACCCTATTTGATCCCTAGCTCTTTGCTGAAAAGTGCATAAACAGGAATCCTGAATTTATTATATAGACCTCCTCGCATTATATAATCGAAGCAAAGGGAAACCAGCGATGGAGTAGAGGTACGTAGACTAAAGAGATGCTTGCAAATCAAATGATGGTACCTAGGGATAGTCACATTTTCTTGTTGCCAAACTCAGTCAATATAAATCACAAGTCCAGAGAAGAGCTAGTTAATTTTAAATTCCCTGAGGTCCTTTTACTGAGATGGAAAAGCACAAGCAGTCAAGGAAAACCAAAGAGGGAGGGGCGAGGGAAGGGGAAAGTGCATAAAGCACTTAAAAGATTTTTTAAAAGTAGGTATGATAGATAAGCCACAAGAAGTTTGTAAGACTACTAATAACCATAATTCTATTTTAATCAGCTATTTAGCTGGTACCTACTGCTATATCACCTAGTGTGACATTTCGGAATTAATGGAACAATGAAAGAAGCTGTACGCTGGAGGTTCCAGGTGCTCATGGAAGGTAGGTTACTCTTACAGTTTGAAATTGTGACGTGTGAAAGTCTGGATGAGAGAAGGGGAACCTGGGCTATTTATTTTTTTTTTTTTGAGACCAAGTCTGGCTCTGTCACCTAGGCTGGAGTGCAGTGACACGATCTCAGCTCACTGCAACCTCCGCCCCTCGGGTTCAAGCAATTCTCCTGCTTCAGCCTCCCGAGTAGCTGGTATTACAGTTGCACACCACCATGCCAGGCTAATTTTTATATTTCGTTTTTTAGTACAGACGGGGTTTCACCATGGTTGGCCAGCCTGGTCTCGAACTTCTAACCATGTGATCTGCCCGCCTTGGCCTCCCAAAGTGCTGGGATTACAGGTGTGAACCACCGCGCCCGGCCAGGAACCTGGACTATTTTGTCTAGCATTTATTGACTATTTTGTGCCAGATACTTGGATGAGAATGTAAAGATAAAAATGGCCAAGGTTTTTGCCAGTGAGAAACCTAGGCTGTACATGATGGTACCTGACACTGCTGGTGACCAAGGAAAGCACCAACGATTATAAGACACAAAATAGTGAGAACTTAAAAGGTGATTGTAGTTCCCAGAAGCTAGTGAGCAAAAGAATGGAAAGTTACAGAGAGGAAGTAAAAAAGCCATTCCAAGTGAAACGGAAAAGTTTGAGTGGCAGCGTGGATACGGTATAAAGGTCATAATGTGCCAGGAGCAGTGGCTCACGCCTGTAATCCCAGCACTTTGGGAGGCTGAGGCAGGCAGATCACCTGAGGTCAGTTCAAGACCAGCCTGGCCAACATGGTGAAACCCTGTCTCTACTAAAAATACAAAAATTAGCCAGATGTGGTGGCATGCACCTGTAATCCCAGCTACATGGGAGGCTGAGGCAGGAGAATCACTTGAACTCGGGAGGTGGAGGTTGCAGTGAGCCAAGATCATGCCACTGCACTCCAGCCTGGGCAACGAGAATGAAACTCCATCTCAAGAGAAAAAAAAGGGTCACAGTGCATTGAAGGTTTAGCAAAAAACTACAGTTTGGACGTAAAGTTGGATGGTAGGGTAGACATTGGTAGGAGAGACTGGAAGTGTCTACCGGTTTCTTCTTATTGAGGGTGGGTGTTACAGACTTTAGTAATTTATTAATACACTTGTAAAATCTTAATAGCACAAGAATAAAAGTTATTATCATGTAAATACATGAAGCATTTAAAAAATAATCCAACCAAATATGTTACAAATTTGTTTTTATCCAGGTTTCCAGTTTATGCAAACTTTTGTGAAAATGAGCTAACCTTGTTATTGGTGAAGACATTGGAAATTTTACCAGCCAAGAGAGAGCTTCTCTCTTACTCAGGGTAAGATGTAATTGCAGTGTGCTAGTGCTGGAAGGGACCTGTTTTACATGTTACGTATGTTACACGTCAGCCCTCCATGTCCTCCAGTTCTGCATCCTTGGATTCAACCAACCGTGGGTTGAAAATACTGGAGGTAAAGACAAAAAATAACAATGAAACAACAACAACAGAAAAAGGAAAATAATAACTATATTTACAGGGCATTTATTTTATATTAGGCATTGTAAGTAATTAGAGATGACTTAAAGTATATGGGAAAATGTATGTAGATTATATGCAAATATGAGGGCATTTTATTTCAAGGGACTTGGGCCTGTGGATACCAAGGGATAACTAAGCATAAGTGGCCTGTCCACAGTTATCAGATTATTGATTAGTGATCATCAGTATTTTCCCACATTCATACAGTGCTGCCTCTGAAAACATGGTTGAATATTCTATGGATTATTATTTTTTTTAATTCGAGAGTCTGTGTCACCTAGGCTAGAGTGCAGTGGCGCAATCTCGGCTCACAGCAACCTCCGCCCTTCCCACCTCGGGTTCAAGTGATTCTCCTGCCTCAGCCTCCTGAGTACCTGGGACCACAGGCATGCACCACAATGACTGGCTAATTTTTGTATTTTTAGACGAGACAGGGTTTCACCATGTTGGCTAAGCTGGTCTTGAACTCCTGACCTCAGGTGATCTGCCTGCCTCGGCCTCCCGAAGTGCTGGGATTACAGGTGTGAGCCACTGCGCCCGGCAGAATTTTTTAACAATTATTTGGTTATAACTAATTTGGATAATGTAGACTGTATGCAGCTTTGATTTGTGCCACTAAGAGTGGGCAAACTGTCTTTTTGTGAAATCAGTAAAAATTTTCCCTCAACATGTGTTTGACAGTGTCATTCACTGCTAAGTTAAGGCATTTGGTAAACCACACAGCCTCTGCATCATAACCTTCCTAGCGACAGCCACAAGAAAAGGCAGGCATGGGAGGGAAAATGTTCTTGTGAATTGAACTGGAGCAAGCTCCATTTTTCTTTAGAAAAAGATGTAGATCAAAATAATATTTTCTTCTTTGCTATTTCTGTGCCTTCCATGGTACATCAAAATAATAGGACCAGAAACAGCCACAATCTTGTTGACTGCTGGTGTCTTCCCCCCAGTATTTCTTTAAGCATTTCTTAAGCATCTAGCTTGTGTTTTGTTATATTTAATAGCTTTTCTTAAAGTAATTGTACAGATTAAAACCAGGAATAACTTCATTTTCCTAGAAAGGGAGAATTTCTCCAGAGAATAAATCCTGAGGATTTAGTTAGATGCTGTGGGTATTCTTGTATTTTAAATAATATTTTAATGGGAGCAGCTGATTGACTTTCAAATGGATTGTTTACATTAATAGTAATACTGCAATTATTTTTCTATTGCATCAGTCTGCCAAACAAGTTCCATGTGCATATTTAAATTCAAAACTAATTATACTTACAAATTTAAACCCTGCATACTTTCCCAAAAATGTTTAGGGCAGTTAAAAACAACTCTTTTGGAAGATGACTCACATTTTAAGAAATGAGAGAATACTGTCAAATGATGAATGCATTTAAAAAATAATTTGCAAAGTGATAAAATCCCTTCGTTTTAAATCTTTTAAGAAGTCAGTAAGTAGTTGCTGCTTTTTAATGGGATACTAATAAGGTTGAGGTTTTTGTTTTTGTTTTTTTTTTTTTTTTTTTTTTTTTTGAGACGGAGTCTCTCTCTGCCACCCAGGCTGGAGTGCAGTGGCCAGATCTCGGCTCACTGCAAGCTCCGCCTCCCGGGTTTGCGCCATTCTCCTGCCTCAGCCTCCCGAGTAGCTGGGACTACAGGCGTCCGCCACCTCGCCCGGCTAGTTTTTTTTTGTATTTTTTAGTAGAGACGGGGTTTCACCGTGTTAGCCAGGATGGTCTCGATCTCCTGACCTTGTGATCCGCCCGTCTCGGCCTCCCAAAGTGCTGGGATTACAGGCTTGAGCCACCGCGCCCGGCCGAGGTTTTTGTTAAGGGAAGTTTACTTATCATTAAACTCTATACTTACTACTACAAGGAAACTCTTTCCAAGTACATTAAACACTAGGTTTTATAATTCTTTCACATTTTAAGTATGACAAGTCCACTATATGTAACATGTAAGAATGCTATCCTGGCAGTAGACATGGGCCCAGAATAAACTGGCAAGTTTTCATTCCATACAAGTGGGGGAAAAAAATGACTACAACTTAAACTTTATTTATTTGATTGAGAGCTTATTGCACATGAAATGTTTTGTGTGGTTGATCTTAATTAACTTCGTTCACATCGACTTTTCTGTGCTCAAGATTGTTCAATTGCTGCTGTTGCTGTTGTGTTTTCTTTCAGGATCGAGGTGGGTACCTTCATATAATATTTTCTTTTTAATTTCTTCTCTGGCAATTCTTTCCCGGATTCTTTGCTTTGCATAATTATACCTACAATGAAACCTTGGAAGAAAAGAATATGAATAAATTGTTAATATTAAGTCCTAGAGAAATTAATTTATGAAATTCTCTATAAATCACACAGAACTTAAATACTTACAGATGACTACCCTGAGACTGAAAAATATGAATGTTCTAATTTATAGTGCTATTTTTGGGCAGTTTTGGTGTCAGAATACTATCAACACATTCTTTTTTATTAGGAAAGAAAAGGATGTCTACATAACAATTTGTAAATGATAAAATCCATTAGTTTTCAGTCTTCTGATAGCATTGTTTATTATAAGAAACTAGTATTTGCTCTCATTAACAGGATAATAATGCTATGTCTACATAAAATTATTTCTATCACCTTAAATAGTTCACTGCAGAAATTCATGTATAAATGGAACCATATAGTATGTACATATCGTACTCTTAGGTCTGGCAAATATTTGAGGCTCATCCGTATTTTCACTCATCAGTGGTTATAAACACATTCTTAAAGTAGCATTTTCAGGTATGAATAAGCAGGGATGAAATAAGTATTAGGGTAAGGGAAATGGTTGAGGCTTTCCTAAGTGAAGTGTAAAAACCACAGCTTTCTTTTTAATGGAATATCTAATACGCATTTATGTGTTCAAGCATTTTAAGACAGATTTCCATGAAAATGTCCTTAAAAGTCAAGATTCGTCATTGAGGGTGAGTATCTCACAATGGGAGATTGCTCTGAAAACGTGCTTTTTGAATTAGATAACCTATCGTGAATACTTAGCAAACATACCAGCATCCCAAAGTCACCAAGATAAACCCTCCTACTCCAACATCACATGATCTTTTAATTCTACCTGTCAAAAATAAGCATAACAGTCAATTAGAATATAAATGCCTGTTATACTTGCCTGTTATATACATTACTCCATCTAGAAAAAAAATCTTTCATCACATAGAGAAATGCTTTTTTTAGTACATAGAGAAATAAACACAGATACTCACTAGTGAACAAAAAATGTCCAAAGCCAGCCACAACAGATCCTAGTGAACCATACAATATCGAATCCCGGGCGCAGGGAATATTTTCAACATCTAAAAATCCTAGGAGCTTAAAGGCCTAGAATGAAAAAAAAGGAACCTAGATTGAGTAAGAAAGTATTTCATTTTGGGGTGGTTTGGCAAAAATGACAACACCATTTATTTTGTTGTAGTTAAGGGTTTAAACTAGAATATGTGCCATGTGAAAACCCAAATCAGCTTGTATTGTCTTTGTCCAGCTTTGGTGTGCAGTCTGAATCTTTAAATCTGAAAGCCTTAAAAATTGGACCAGAACACCCTTAAGCAATAGGGTAACTTTTATGCCCATCACTGAAATTGAAAGCAGCCTAGTTTGCTTCAATAACTCCAATAATTTGGGAAGCAGAAACGGAAAAAGTAATTTGAGTCATGTTTGCTTATGTAGTGCCATTTAAAAACCTTTCATATTTTATTAACTAGGTTAACATCAACTGTGGTTGTAAGAGTAAATGTTTCATGTTAAGATAAACATGGACAATATATTAAACTCTAGTCTCTTTTCTTGCCTGTGAAGTGAGGCTGCACTTGATTATATTTGATTCTTTGTTCATAATACATGGTAACGATAGCTAGGTGTGGTGAAACACCCGCGGACCCAAAGAGTGGGATTTTTATCTCAGATCTGCCGCTAACTTTTGTATTCTATAGGCTACTTTTATCTCCATGGTCTCAATCTATAACATGAACGGGTTGGGTTAGATGACTGAAGTTTCTTCAAGTGCTAAAATGACTTCTTTTTCTACAGTCTTCATTGGATTTATGTATTTCTTTTTCCCAATATGTTTAACTGGGATGTCTGTCACTCTAGGGTGGCAAGACAGACATTTGAAAGAACAGTCACACTGCTGAACTGGCATTTCTGTCAACACAAAAGTTTAGAAAAGTCACTGTAATTGTTTTCTAAAACTTGATTCAGTATGTATCAGATTTTCAGTAAGGCTGCTTTTAAAAGGAACCACTGTCCATTTAAAGGTTTCATAGTTATCTTCAATGGGTTAGTATTTGGGGCAGGACATTAAAACTAGAAGAGGATTCTATAGGATGAGGTGATACCTAGAAGGTAATATATTGTAAGGCAAAAGAGGTTAGAAGAAATGGGGAAAGGACAGTAAAAGGCAAGTCAGATTAAAGGTTGAAACATGAAGATATATATTCTCAATTGTATTTCTGCCTATGTTTGCTTCTTTGGCTCAAGCATCTGTTGGAAGAGACAAAATGTGATTTGGTTCATAATAAAGCAAAAATTATTTACTCTTGAATCATTCTGTTCCATTTTTTCCCTCTCCCTGTCTGGCCCCCTGCTCCCAACTGCATGCCTAACAGGATTGTTTCAAACCTTTGCAGTACAGTTCTTCACATTACCAAGAGGTTGGGGGATTTCATTTAGCAAAAAGACTTTTCTCCTATCAGCATGAAAGCTCAGGGGATATATGATCATGCGGGTAGTGTTATGCAAATGGGGAATGCTGGACTTACCGCTCCAGTCCAGGACTACCCCTTAACTAGCCTATTTCCCCAAGGATGGGATGCTGGGGCCAGAGGGTACCAGTTTTATCTCTAGTCTTAGGTGCAAAGATGCGAGTGCGAGACCAGCTTCTACCACAGGGCAGAACTAAGTATTTTCTAGTCCCACTCTCAGATTCTGATTTAGATTCATTGGAATCTATTTAGAAAACTCCAGGTGGTTTTTTCTGATGACTATCAGACTGGGGAAACACTGCTTTAGGAAATTTTAATTTTTAACAAAAGTAAATTTGCAAACAATAGGAAAATAGCTCAGCTGGCTTTAAAGGCAAATATCTAAATAGAAGCTACACATCCTATTTAAAATAGTGCCTTCTGAAACAAACCCAATCCCCAACAAAACTCTCTGATCTAAAATAATAGTGGCTGATCTCATAATTAAGAGCTGCTGGTTGTGGGGGTGGGTGGGTAATAGTGCCAGGCTCTCTACAAGTTTTGTAATTCTCCAGTCTCTCTGTGAGATTACCTCTGAAACAGGCTCGGGGACTTAAGAGGCTAATAATAAGAGTTGGCAGGAGTGGAGGTAGAAGTCAGTTTCACCCCAAAGCGTATGACATTTCCATTGTGCCAAACCATATCATTAAGAAATAACCAAGGCTGAAGGGTTCTGTGGGCAGCTTTCCAGTTGTCACATGTCTAAGAAGTAATACGATTCAGTACATAAATCCCTGCAATTTCTATCAAAATGGGAAGAATATGCAACGACTTGAGCCTGTATACCTTTACAGTCAAGCACACTGAACTGTAAAATGCTCAGAAGTGCAGATGAATAAACGATCCTGGGCATAACTCCCTTTGAAGTATTGTATTTATATATGGAAATATTCTGTTCATAATATACATGCCTTAAACATTTCTATTCCTTAAGTAGCCTGCAAACTTAAGATTTAACTCTTTGCCACTAACAAATAGGAACCCTTAAAAATAAATTAAGGAAATGTTAGACATTTTTAAAGCTTAAATTTAGAAAACCAGCTTTACCAGCTCACCCTGATGGAT